CCAACCCGAACAAAACCAAAGAACCTGCCGTCTTTGCCTTGAAGAAAGGCTACTTATCCTGAAAGGACGTAAAAGAACATTTTAAATAAACGTTCCGATATGTTTAGTGCATGCCGTCATGTAACTTAACACCCTTTAGTCGATGTATATAGTCAGCAAATAATATATAATCTGTCAGTTGCCTGAAGATCGCCCTACGGCGTGAAACTCCGAGTAGCGACAGCAAACAATTGTCCATTTTGTTTTAGTTCATTTTATATATATATATATATATATATATATATATATAAGCGTAAATGGAGCTGAGCATAAATATTGATGATAAGAAGAAAATACACAAAAACTACAATTTCATTCCGACAAGTCTGTTTCGTGATTTCTCGCTCTTCAGGGGATAATATTAAATGAATGCAAAAGCATGTGCTTGATTATATATACAAGTGGAAAATAGGGTAAAAATTAAGATAGAAACACATAATAAGCTAGGTGTACGATTACAAATTAGATAAAAGTTCCTTGTGTCTATAGCGACAAAAGGAGATAAGTTCGTTACAATTGTTGAGTGATGATAGTTGTTGTTGGTAGGTGATGAAGAATTTTTCTTTCCGGCATAGGTTGCATCTTTTGCTGGCGCTGTTGTACGGTTTGCTGTGAGTAATGATTTCCCATGAGATATCGTGAGCGATGTTGTTGTCTTTTAGTGTCCATATGTGTTTACTGAGCTCGTTAGAGTTTCTTAGTTTTATGTGGCGTAAAGAGGCAGTGTGGTTCCTGTGTCGTATCTTAAATTCGTTTTCTGAAAGTCCGATGTAGGTCTCAGTTGTGTTAGTGTCAAAACGTTTAACAGTTACTTAATAGATGGCAGATGATTGTAGGCAGTTTTGTTTCTGTCGGCAGTTGCATGTTTTAGTTTGCGTATTTTTGTCATTGATGGTGTCATTAGTACTGTCAGGTTCTCTCAATATGCGTTTGTTATAATTATTGATAATGTTTTCCATATTATTCATGCAGCTGTAACTTAATTTAATTGTGTTGCGGTTAAATAGTTTCCTGAGTTTGGGGGTCTATGGGAAAGTGCCGGTCGATTAGTGAAATGAATTTGTAGCCAATGTTTGTGCTGACGTTCTTGCTCTATGGTGGGTTGTACCAGAGTATGTTATTTCTAAGTCTGTTTTTCCGTTTGGTCGTAGCGTTCGGGTCATATTTCAGTGTGTTGTGATATCCATTTTTGTCAAGTGCTTTTTGATAAGGAGGAAATGCTTGGTCGAATGATGTTTTGTGGGATGATAAGGATGAAAGGCGTTTGTTGATGTTATCAGGTATGTTCTTTGTACGGCTTGGAGGGTGGTTGTTTTCGTGGTGGATGTATTGCAAAGAGGTGTTGGGCTTAGTGTAAGGTCAATTTTAACACAATTAAATTAAGTTTCAGCTGCATGAACAATATGGAACATATTATTAATAACCATAACAAACGCATATCGAGAGAACCTGACAATACTAATGACACCATCAATGACAAAAATACACAAACTAAAACATGCAACTGCCGACAGAAACAAAAGTGCCTACATTCATCTGTCATCTACTAAGCAACTGTTAAACGTTTGGACACAAACACAACTGAGACCTAGGTAGGTGATGATGAATTTTTCTTTCAGGCATAGGTTGCATCTTTTGCTTGCGATGTTGTACGGTTTGCTGAGAGTAATGATTTTCCATGAGATATCGTGAGCGATTTTGTTGCCTTTTAGTGTCCATATGTGTTTACTGAGTTCGTTAGAGTTTCTTAGTTTTTTGTGGCGGAAAGAGGCAGTGTGGCTCCAGTGTCTAGTCTTAAATTCGTTTTCTCTAAGTCCGATGTAGGTCTCAGTTGTGTTTGTGTCCAAACGTTTAACAGTTGCTTAGTAGATGACAGATGAATGTAGGCACTTTTGTTTCTGTCGGCAGTTGCATGTTTTAGTTTGTGTATTTTTGTCATTGATGGTGTCATTAGTACTGTCAGGTTCTCTCGATATGCGTTTGTTATGGTTATTAATAATATGTTCCATATTGTTCATGCAGCTGAAACTTAATTTAATTGTGTTAAAATTGACCTTACACTAAGCCCAACACCTCTTTGCAATACATCCACCACGAAAACAACCACCCTCCAAGCCGTACAAAGAACATACCTGATAACATCAACAAACGCCTTTCATCCTTATCATCCCACAAAACATCATTCGACCAAGCATTTCCTCCTTATCAAAAGCACTTGACAAAATGGATATCACAACACACTGAAATATGACCCGAACGCTACGACCAAACGGAAAACAGACTTAGAAATAACATACTCTGGTACAACCCACCATAGAGCAAGAACGTCAGCACAAACATTGGCTACAAATTCATTTCACTAATCGACCGGCACTTTCCCATAGACCCCCAAACTCAGGAAACTATTTAACCGCAACACAATTAAATTAAGTTACTGCTGCATGAATAATATGGAAAACATTATCAATAATTATAACAAACGCATATTGAGAGAACCTGACAGTACTAATGACACCATCAATGACAAAAATACACAAACTAAAACATGCAACTGCCGACAGAAACAAAACTGCCTACAATCATCTGCCATCTATTAAGTAACTGTTAAACGTTTTGACACTAACACAACTGAGACCTACATCGGACTTTCAGAAAACGAATTTAAGATACGACACAGGAACCACACTGCCTCTTTACGCCACATAAAACTAAGAAACTCTAACGAGCTCAGTAAACACATATGGACACTAAAAGACAACAACATCGCTCACGATATCTCATGGGAAATCATTACTCTCAGCAAACGTGATCTGCGTGATCTGCTTTGTCCGGAACACTGGTGCTTGAAGCACTTCAGAACCATTTGCTTCATCCTTCCGAAGCTCAACATCTACGGCCAACTGGAACTTAACTCCTCGTAGAGCGAGTAGCTCCTCGACGAGTTTGCGTTTAATGTAGGGCTGGGCGTTTTTGAGGAAAGCCATCAAGTCGCGTTCGGAGGGGTGCCCCATCGGCACCTGCATTTTCTAAGCTCTCAGATGATAGCTGAAGGCCTTCGTTTCATCCCACCTAAATTCCGTGGGTGGTGGGGGAGGAGCCCTTGTGGGGCGTCGTGGTTTTGGAGCAGGTCTTGTGGTTGGTGTAGTCTTTGTTACTCGTGGTTTTGGTGTAGGCCTGCGGGCAACAGGAACGGGAATCTTTGACGTCCTCGGCTTAGGAGTAGGTCTGCGGGGCGCAGGTACGGGTGATATTTCTTGGCGTGGGTGTTGAGGCAGCGGGCAGTTGAAGAGCCTTGAGAGAGGCGTTCAGCGCGTGTCCGCTGATCACACCTTGTTTATATAATTGTATAAGATCCTTAACAACAACTTCCATCTCAAGTGTCGAAAATTTTAGTTCTATACCCTACGCGAGATAAATCTCTAAATCGAAATTAATTCAAAATGTAGAAGTTAATTTTAAATGTCGAAGTTAATTCGGCGAGTACTCTAGAAAATCTCTTTCTTGCTTGTTTCTGTCTATAAACGAGCTTATGATGCACCCTATCCGCACCGCAGCCTTGACAAAGGATAGTTTCTGCCTGTGTTCCGATCCCACACTTACGACATGGTTGTGGATGTTGCCCGCCTTCCCTTAACCGCCTCATATGAAGTCCACAGTATTCACCTATGGAGCTTCGCCCACATGTGGTGAGCTTTACGGGTAATAACCACGCACACTTGTTCTTGCCCTGCCTCATGATAATGTGTGAAGACATATACTCTATGAGAGTATATCTCTCTAAATAATAGACCCCAACGGCCGGCCGGGCGCGGGGGGTGGGCCGGCCGTCTTTGGCTCCTGCCTTTGTCCTGGGTTTGACATTCGCTGCCTTGTGATTTTTGTGCCGATATATGAGTTTACTATGTGCTTACTATGTGAGCTACGGCTGGGGCGCTTAGATTTGTGTATACTCCTTCTCAAACTGTGAGTGCGCCAGAAATGACGATAAGGTGTGAGGTGCGCCAGAAATGACGAGAATTTGTGAGGTGCGCCAGAAACGACGCTCTGTATACTATACTACTATATTACAAATATCATAGTGGCGAGAAAATTATTTTCGTAAAACGAGCGGTTAAAGATTTAATAGTTATGTCAAAAAACATGGTTTTCTGTAACAATTTTAATTAATATATTTAGAAGTTCGTGTGAAGTCATATTTGTTGCAGCTTTATGATGTAAGCACTTGAGCTAAGTCGCGTGCCATTTAAATCATGCATGAGCGTTTGGGAAAAGGGACACTCTCTATCTTTTGTGAAATAAGTGAAAAGACGGTTCATTAGCTCAAAGAGTTCAAAAATGTCAGTTTCGTTAAGATTGTGGCCTTTTACCATAAAGGCCACAATCTTAATACCAGAAATGATGGTTCCTAGAAATGGTTCCTAAAATGTTCTTCTTGACATACATTACAGCAATAACAAAAGTGCTATGTCAGAGAAACCAATGTGGTTTCTCCTAAAAATACCAGAAATGATGGTTCCTAGAACTTACCACACGTCCCAATTTTATATTTGTTTGTGTGTCCCTGATTCAAAAGGTTTAGGTACGTGGTCGTTTGACTGAAGAGTGAGCTCAACTCACATATTTGCAATCTCAGACATGTAAATTTTCATGGTTACTAAATATATTGAATTACGCTCGTTGATCTAATTCATTTTTGTGTGGGCTACCCATATGTGCCCTTGTGTACCTTTTTTTATGTTGGCCGCCAGTGTTGAATATAACTGCTCATGCAATCTAATAAGACTGTTTCCTTTAACAAAAAAATACAATATTTACCGTTTAAGTCGGTCCGGATTAATAAATATTTTTGCTCGGTCTTCAAAACATCCCAGAGCGGCCTTGGCACTTTTTGAGACCTCAGGGAAATATGCTTCCATCGGGATCTCTAAGCCGGTAAATAACATATATATTTATATTTATAGTTCCCCATCAAAAGTCATCAGCAGAAGAACAATTAGCCAAAAGCACTGTCAGTACACTTTTCCAAATGGGAAAATCATTGAGGTTCACCAAGGAGATATTTTAAATCATTCTGCTGACTATCTTGTGAATTCAGCAAACGATGAACTGAAACACTATGGTGGATTGGCATTAGCAATTGTTGAAAGGGGAGGGAAGGTTATTCAGGAGGAAAGTACATGTGCCCTAAGAAAACATGGAGAACGTTTTATGGTTGGAAACGTTGTAAAAACGGGTTGCGGATTATTGAATTTTAAAAGGATACTTCATGTAGTTGTTCCAAAACACGAAGGAGAAAGGGATGAAGGACAATTGCGGTAAATTATATTTCAATTTCTTGCTTGTATGAATGTAGCTACAATGAGAATTTTCTAATCTTTAAAGATAACGCGACGATAAATTATGTTAGTTAACCGTGTTAGATTTGCATCTGCATCCAAGATTACAACAACACGGATAATAGCATACAGAACAGAAGGCGGATAAAGCGTCGGACCAAATTAATTTACTATATCCGATTTTCAAGAAATAAATTATTTTTTCTTGTTAGCTATAAAGCAAACATCACCTCCATTAAAATTGCGTGCTTAGATTGGCTCAGAAAAAAACAAAATGCAAGCCCGACAAAGATAAATCAAAAGGAGAGTTTGGTAATTGTAACGACACATTTTCAGAAAGTTTACTTTCTACTGACGGAAACCCAAGAAATAAATGAAGTGTCATTTTTAACAACCAGCCATAGATAACACATAAAAAAAACACTTATTGCAGAAAAAATCAATAACTGAGGGGAGGGGGTATTAGATAGTGATATATGCTGACAATCTGCCTTGTTTGCTAAGTTTTTTGAAATTATTTGTTTTCCTCTAATTAAAACATACGCACATATGAACATGTGCTCCCCTTAAAAAAGAAGAATTCTTGACTTGGATAGCTACGTCTCTGACTGAATCGATGATTGCCCAGATTGCAAAAAAATCAAAACACGTGCATCTAGCTAGTTTGAAATGCCTATTTGTGCAATTTTTTAGCTAATATTTCTTTTGTTCTTACATGCCTATCTCCAGCCTCTGCTGTCTATCCGTGTTGAAAAGCGCAACACAGGGAAAGAGCGTTGCTGTTCCACTGTTAAGCTCTGGAATCTATGCAATACCCCATGAGATCAGCGCAAGTGCTTTAGTAAAGGCGACTGCAGAATTTTTGAAAGAAAACGCAGGAAGTAGTTTGCAGGAGGTTCATTTTGTGGACAACGACGACAAAGCCATCGACGCTTTAATGAAAGAAATGATTAAAGCATTTCAGCATGATGACAATTTCAAGTTAGACAGAGCTGTAAAAGATCAGTGGATTCCATATTTAAAGAGTTTGCCTTCAACCCCTGACACAACCAACGTAGCAAGTAGTTACAGCGGCAATGTATTCCATACTCCACAGGGAATGGAAATACGAATGATTGTAGGAAACATCGCTGAATCAAGGGTAAGATTGCAAAATTTTATGCATCTCCGTGGGATGCAAAAAAAAAAGCAAATATTTTCCTGTTTTTATTTGCTTCACATAAAGTGCATGATTCAGCTGATCTATGGACCAAAATTTTTATTAAATGTTTCCTAAATACAAACAAACAAAACAGAATCTTATCTGCAAGCTTTTGTTCCGCGTCGAAGTTATAACCCTGCGACATCCCTTTACTTTCATGCAACATCTATTTTGATGACAAAAGCAAATTACAAAAATTTTTGGAAACAAATCGCAAAAGTTTTTCTATATTCTGCATTCATAAAGTTTTTATGGCAATAATGTTCTTTCTCCATCAATCATTTTTCTCCACCTTAGACTCATGTTATTGTCAATACTATTTCAAATGATATGAATCTTGAATTAAACAAGTGTTCCAAAGCAATTCTAAAACAAGCAGGATTTGGGCTGAAGGAATCTTGTGAACAATGGATCAAAGATAATGGACAATTAAAAGAAGGGGACTTTGCCATCACACCTGGAGCTAAATTGAAATGCAGAAAAGTCATCCATGTTGTGTGTCCAAAATGGAGTGCAGACCAAGGAGAAAAGGTGTGTATTTTTAACATGAATTGTTTGATTATAGTACGATTTTTCACTTGTTTTGAGGTTGTATAATATTCTTCGTACAAGTTATTCGTTAAAATCTTAAATACTTCGATAAAATACTTTTATTAATTGTAAACGAGGAAACGAAACCATTAAGAAATTTCTGAAATAAGCTTTCAACAGTTTTTGGTTTGTTGTGTAATGCATTTTATAATTCAACTTACTTAGAGCTTAATTCATGTCATTGGGCATAAATGAATCTTGATTTAATAATCGTCATAGAAATTTCGACAATTAGTTCAAAATATCTTGGATAAAGTTCAATCGTTGGGTCATTCTTCGATATCAGTACCTGCACTTGGTACAGGAACGCTAAATTTTCCAGAAGAACTGGTTGCCAAACTATTACTTAATGAGGCGTTAGAATTCAGCCTAAAGCATAAATCCAAATTGAAAATCAAGAATTTCAACATAGTTGTCTATTCAGGAAACACAAAAGCAGTTCAGGTCTTTTCCAAACAATTTCGAGAATTCTCGATAACAAAAGTCAAAGAAAAACGCGATATGGTGAAGTGGACAACACGTCAATGTAATTACAACAATGAAGTTTTAAACAGGGGTAAAGTAAAAGTTGAGATTGTCCAAGGAAATATTGTCCATGAATCAACAGAAGCTATTGGTTTTACAGTGTCCGAGAGTGTTTATCAAGGTAGAATAACCAAAAGTATTAGATGTTGCTGTATAAAATATCATGAATTAAACATTTCAATTACAGCTCCATTAACTGCAAGTTTTAATACTGCTGGAATTTTTTTTTAAAGAAAAAATGGAAAAAGAAATATCCCAGTGCAAGTTTATATAGATAATTGATTTTTATCCATAACATATTAAAAAGTATACGAAGCAAATTTTTCTTTCTTTTGCGTAAAATAACAAAGTCTTATAAACAATGGTCACAAAATTAACGTTTCATTCATCTGTGATCGACTGTTTTTAGTTGGTTAATTTTTGACTGACATGATTTAAAATATGTAGTCTTATCTTTTACTTATTTAAGCACATTTTAATAATCTTCATAAACGTTACCAATTTTCCTTTTTCATTCGTTTTTGGGGGCCTAGAGTCGATGCATGAGATTCGTAACTATGAAAAATGTCAAAAATTTACTCACATATAACTGACATTTTACAAACACGGAAGGCCAGTAGCGTCACAAGCTGGACAGTGAGGGGAATTTTTTTCATATATGTGCATGGTTTCCAAGTTATGTTCTTTTGAAATAAACTATTTCTTAGTGATTGAAAAATGCATATATGAATATTATCCCCCCTAACTTATCGAGCTGGAGACGCCTCTGCATAATGCCACCTTATTTAGTCTAATACCTGGGCAATTTTGAAATAGAAAATGTCTCTGTTGCTATAATCATCATCTCAAGACACATGATTTTAGGTGGTCAGATTGGGAAAGCATTGCTCAAGACAGCAGGCAAAGAATTAGAGAGAGCATACACCAAAGTGAAGCATATAAATTCAGGTACCATTGTAAAGACGACTGCGGGTAACCTAAAAGCAAGTTATCTTCTACATATGGGAATAAACTCATATGGTTTTGAAATCGAGAAGTCACACATAAAAGATGTGGTAAAAGAATGCTTGGAGAAAGCTAATTCTTACCAAATAAAGTCGCTGGCTCTACCTGCAGTGGGCACAGGAAATCTTGGAAAAAGTGCCGAAGAGTCCGCTGATATTTTGCATTCCTGCATAAAGAATTACCAACAAAAATTAGACAGATCGCTATCGTTAATCAGGATTGTCATATTAGACAAAAAGCTTTTTGAAGACTTTCGTGAGGCTTACTATATGAAAGAATTAGCAACACCGAATGGTATGTGATATCATAACTTATATCATCGCTCCCAAGTTGTGCTGTTTCTACTAATATTGCATGTGCAAATGTCATAGTTGCAGTTCAACGTGAAAATTGCTCGAAAAAATCTATCACGCAGTATTCCCATACAAGTTTGGTTTATTAATTAATCAGTCAATGTCTACAGTGATCTTTCCAAAAATTTCAAATTCTTACTAATGCTTTTGTGATTTTTTCATCGTTTCTCCTTTTTGTATGATATTATCTTGGTTAATAGTTGAATGTGATGACAAAATTGAATTTAATACCTATTTAATTTGTTATTGGTTGACTCACTGCTGTTGTACAAGTTTATTCATTAATATGGAATGGATATATACGATCATGCGATAATTTTCCAAGGCTGCTTTATTTTAGACATTTGTGTAACCCATCAAGAAGTCACATTAGAAATAACGACAATGAATTCCTATAAGATCGACTGTATAAAAGAAGAATTGAAAAATATCGAAAAAGAGTACATTTATTCCAATGAAATCAAGCTAGTACGTTCTTTGAACAACCAGCAACTTTCAAAAATCCTTCGATTTCAGGACGAATATAGAGTTTGTATTGAATACAAGCCTGATATCATTAGAATCAGTGGGTTGGAGAACGACGTTTTACTTGCTTCATCTAAAATATCTTCTGTGATCATCAATGAAGCCACTGTTAGAGAGGTTTGTCAAGTAAATAAATGACTAAAGCCTTTATATAAATTGTTACACATCCCAGTAATTCACATTGCCGGGAACTTGGTTTGTGTTGGGGGCCAATTACATGAGGCGAGTTGTCCCGCTTAAACGAGTCAACTCGCATAACCGAAACGAGTTAGAAATTGCTATAACATGAAAGGTATTGAGGTGCAGAGGATAGCAATCTGCTCTTTGCCAGTGTTCAACAAACAAACAAGTATACATTGCATTAATGTGTATGTCAATTTAAGCTGACCAATAAACGCACGCGTGAATCAGATCTATTGACCCGCTTTGCCGAGCCAACTCCGCAGATTGAATTTATTTTGGACTTTTCATCCCACTTAAGCGAGTAACTTGGCAAGCTACAACCGGGATTCCAGCTTGGCGGGACAACTCGATTGCCATGTATTGAACTGTCAAAATAATATACAACACATTTACAAAGTGAGTCAACTCAGCTAAGCGGGTCAACTTGCCTAGTTGTAAGTCTTACTGTATTATTAAAAAGAGTTTGTATTATTTGTAAGTTTTGCATGTATAGTGCATATAATCCCTGTATAGTAAGGTTTTCCTTTTTTAATCAGCATGGCTAATAAATAACAAACTTAGTGTGAGGAAAATGTGTATGGAGGTGTTAGTCGGTACTATATAAACAGTTCGATTGTTTTAGGAGCCTGAATGAGTTACTAGCCTAAACGGGTGACCCTGCCGCATCAAAACAGGCTCTAAATATATAATCCACGTGTTTATAAATGCAGTATGAAAATTTAAGCCAGAAGCTGGTTTATCATGATATTTTACAAAATTACACTTTTCTATTTGTCTCCCTTTCTCATATTTTGATGGAGACATGGTTAACTTTATCAATAAAAATTTATCAAGAACTGTGTCAGAATTTTTCTGGTAAAGTTCTGTTTTATACAGATTCAGAAAATTGAAATGGCAAGAACGGAGAAAAGCTGAATGAGAAATATGTAGAAGTGTTTTTGTAAATGAATGCAAAAATCGCAAGGAAGTATATTTGAAGCTTGAATATTTTCTGTTAAAATTTAATGGTTGCTAAAAGAACTGATTTTAAGATTTCCATCCTGATTTGATACAGTCGAAAACATTTCGACCTTCCTCTCTAACAGTTAAAAAACAAATATGATAATTTTTTGCGTTTCTTTTATAACGTCAACTCTTCAATCGTTTAGTTGTTGGATATAGAATTTCCACCATTTTTTGAAGACTTTTGGTATTATACATAAAGTTCATTTCCCACATGGTGATATTCCCTACGAAATAATTTCGATTTCAAGCTACATATATAAGTATATAACACTTACAGCACTGTTTTTTTAGACTCCACCTAAACTTTTTCTTTTTTCCTTTCTAAAGATCGATTGGATATTTTACGATTGCCATGACAATGCAAAAGTTATCCCTCAAAGATATGATGACAGCGAAATTATTGAAATTGAGAAGGCATATAAAAGCGACCCATCAAAAACTGTTATAATTGGAAGAAACATTCGCATCGACTTTGCCACAATGACAGAAACCAACCTTGACACAGGACAAATAATGAAGATTTACAGGCGAGAGCGAGAAGGTAAGCGTTTCTAAACCACAAACTCTATGACACAAAAGTTTGTGAGGTTCGTAACCACAACTTTCATGAATGATGCGCGAATCGTAACTCTTGTCAACTGCAAAGTAAATACCATGTGTGTTTTCATTACATACCAGTTATGTTTTTAATTACTTACGATTATTTTGTAGTTACCTGAGTTTTCTTTTATTGCCTAAATTTAAGTTAAAGCTTTTAATTTAAATGTAAATTATTTTGAATTTTCGATGAAGAACTCTCTAGATTAAATTGTTTAACTCACTTGCAAAAATTTCTCTCAAAAAATAGCGCAGTGAATAGTGCAAAGTAAAATGACTAAGAAAAACATCATATAAAAATTCTCGCTGAGAAAGCTTCTTGCCGGTTATTTATGTTAAGGAAATGTATAAATAAATAAATTCAGTCAATAATGGTGAGAACAAGTAGCAGTGGCGAATAAAGAGAACACGGTACTTAGTGGAAGTTAAGAAGATATTTACTACTCAGTAATTCAAACCAAAAGCTATATGCTACTAGTTGCAAGTGTTTTACACATTGTTGTAGAAAATGTTTCACATTTTCGAATTAAATTTTGCTCTTACTATTTATAGAAAAACACATTGTCAAGCATTATATATATGACTCGGTTGTCAACCTGAACAGTTTTTCCGGTTATATACGAAAATTAGACAACAAGGCTTTAGATCATTTTACCCTTTCTATGAAATATTTTATGAGCATGTAAGCATGTATTTTTTATTTAGCAAATCCAACTCCAGCCAGCTGGCAGTTGCAACCTATAAATACGTCAACTGGTAAAGAGTGCGAGGTGCATACATTCTTGGTAGACAAGAGAGAGTCAGAATTCGAAGAAGTAAAAAGTTTTTTCGAGACATCAGTGTCGAGAAATTCAGCGTGTACCAGTGTTGAGATTCTTCATATCGAACGAATTCAAAACCCAATGGTTTACCAGCAGTATCAAAACCGGAAAAAAAGGATGAAAAACGATGGAAATGAAATGAGACTGTTCCATGGGACCTCAAAATTTGCCGTAGATCATATTAACCTTAATGGTTTCAATAGATCATACCATGGGAAAAACGGTAAGAGTTTTTTCATGGTGTCATAACATGAAAAACATCAATCGATTTTATCAATTTATTTTATGAAACAGCTTTTTCAATATTTAAGCTACAAGATTCGGCAACGGAACGTACTTTGCAAAAGAAGCGTGGTATTCAGCCAACAAAAGTTATTCTGTTCCAGATGAAAATGGTAGTCAGTACATGTACCTGTCGAGAGTTTTAGTGGGTGAATACACGAAAGGAAAACAGGGCTTGCTTGAACCCCCTCCAAAAGACCCTGATAATGCTTTGCTAAAGTATGACTCAGTTGTCGATGATGTCACCAACCCAACCATGTTTGTTATCTTCTATGATAATCAGAGTTATCCTGAATATCTAATTACATTTAAGAATCCGTAATTTGGATTCCAAGACAATTTTGCCACTTGAGAAATCATACATATCTAATGCAAACAAAACCTTTTTTCAAAGATAACTAGGATTTTAGTTTTCAGTGAAAGATTAAAGAATAATATTAACCATTTGACTTGAACATATAGTTTAAAAGACCATATCCAATTTTTGCTCATTGTAACGAATTTTTGTTTTAGTTTTTCGGAATATGACCAATAAACTTCTTCATTTGAGGGAATATATGTATTTGTCTTTACAAGTTAAAGTTTTACTAAGTAAAACTAGCATTAGAGAATATACATCCTAACACGGTTTTTATATGAACATGAAAAACATGTGACTAGAACAAGATTTGTACTCGCACCTTCGGGATACTAGTCCGCTGCTCTACCTGTTGAGCTACCAAGCCCACAGGGATTGGTGACGAGTCCAATATCTTTTTAAACAGCGTATGGACGAGAGATTCTCGCCACTATAGCAGTTTACTGGGTGGCACCGTGTTTCGACTTTATTCCAAAGCCATTAGCAGTTAACATAATATTAGCAGTTTTTTGGATGGCACCCATTAAGTTTTATAATAACTGGAAAGGCTAAGTGGACTAGGGTGATGTTATCAAAAACATGGATGTCAATTGATCTATTCCCACTGAAATGTTCGCCTCGCAAAAAAAATTATTCTCGACTTCCCCCTGTTATTTATAGTAAATTATATAGGATTTATTAAAAACAAACACGATTTTTCTGGCATTTATATTATAATGCCAACAATTTAGTCGTTCAATTGTTGAATATCGTAATGTGCACAAAAAGGAAGATATCGCTTTCACAGGTGAGATATTTTCTTGTTTTGTTCGTTCATCAAAGATTAAAAAGCAACTAATAACACTTGAAAAGCCGTAAAATCTAAAAGACCGTATTTAAAAACACTGACATGTGTACCAAATATACTGGTATTTTCCTGTTATTGTTTGTAAAATTCAATAATTTTACCCATTTATTTGCAAATTAGTTCCTCTGATGCCAAAATAGTGCCTGTACAGCTTACTAAGTGGATACAAAACATGAAGGAACTGCCACCCCAAACAGTACCCATAAAATGTAGCAGAATTTGTTCTGGTCTATTTGCTGACAACATGAAGAGATTATCAGGTTGCAAAGTGTTTCTGGAAATGATGTGAGTATCAACACTATTTCAACATTATTTCAAGAGTTTTTGATCATGGTCTAATTTATGGATGGAGACAATTAACTCATTAAAGTGCACACACAACTATTTTTAGTTTTTTATGCTCAAAGAGATTTTGGATAAATAATACAAATGCCGTTTACAGAATTTGAGTAATTTTTTTCGTTTTTGAGTTATCTTTCGGCAAAGACGCAAATAAAACTGGAATTTCAACGTTTTGTAAAAAATTTCGAGAGCTCTAATCCGTGGCATGGGACTTAATTGTGACGTCATTTAAGCAACACAGACTGACTACCATACACTTTTTGTGCATGTAAACAAACACAAAAATGCCAGAACGGTGTATAGTTTCTGGTTGTTCTAACGTAGCCAGTTCAGAGAAAGGCATTTCACTTCATCGCATACCATTTTTTAACGACGAAATAAGCGAAGCAAAGCGTAGGTGAAAGCGATGCGTCAACTCTGTGATAGCTACTCGCAATAAGTGGCTCGCAACAAAGAATTCCGTAGTTTTCTCGGAACATTTCACAAAGGATTCATTCGCTCGGCAATTTGGCTCGCTTGCTGAATCAGATAGTAATTTTTTACCTTGACTGATTCGAGACGAATTTGGAATCGTTGCTTACCCGAGCATTCATCCTCGAAAAGATGGCAATGAATTTACAACAAGAGATCGCAGTATGGTGAGCGCATTATAAATCATAACTACATATTATCTGAAATCTGTGTGAGAACATATTTTGTAAATATAATCCATTTTAGATAAAAAGAAAATGGATATCTGATTATAAAAGAGAGGTTGAATCAGAAAATATTCCCAGTACAAGTAGCGAACCTTAAGAGCCAATGGAAGGAAGAACTTGTGATGAGCCTGTATTACACAAGGTAAACATATATGATCATTACGCCAATGCTGTAAAGGTTAACACAAACTATTGTATTTTATATGTATTAATGTTGTTTCTAATTTAGGAAGTAGCTGTGCAATGTGTATTTCAATGCCAAAATTGTCTAAAACTCAATAAAGAGAAACGTCGTTACAGGAACTTATGCTTGGGCAAAGCATAAGCTTCAGTGTAGCAGAATATGTGCAAGCAGTTCTAATATGGACATGCTTGCAGTGGGTAAGCGTTTTTTAAGATGATACTCCTGTTAATTTTATTTCATTTATGATTCTAGGTCAAGAGAAGATTTGTCAACGTAATAGGATCAGCCGTGTTTATAAACCTCAATTTTTACAATACTACTAAGTAAACCAGCATGCAACCTGGAAAACTATTGAAGTTAGTTGCTAAGTAATATGGACTTAACCAACCTTGCATAGCTGCATTCTTGAAGTATCCTACTTGATATATGAGTATGACAACAACAGCAGCAATGTGGAATCATCAACTTGTAGCAAAGTGGTAGAGGAAGATATTTTGTACCCAAATGATCCTAGTGACGACTCAGACTCAGAGAGTGATCTTGGTGTTGAAAAAATTTGACTGAGACAGAAGAAATATGTACATCTGGTGACATGGATGCTGACTCTGAATCAGAGCAGCCAAGAACATTTAAAAGGTAACAATTTTTCGTATGAGAATTCTTAAATTAAACGAGACTTACCTGTAAGTTGATGTTTGATTGGAATTCTACTAGTGATCAGTCAGGAACAAAGGAGTTACATGAGAAGCGCGTGCGCGTCGCTCGTCGATCCGTTTTTCAACGAGAGCAGTTGCACAAATTAAGGAATCGAAGGAGTCACGGGTGGGATGGGTAGTGCAGGACATGTGACTCCCTCGTTTCTGAATGATGACTTATAGAATTCCAATCAAACATCAACTTACAGGTAAGTCTCCTTTAATTTAAGAATTCTACAACGTCATCAGTTACGTCACTACGGAGTCACATGAGATTTTAAATTCTGTGGCTGCGAGATGGGAATTGATATGTTAGATGCAATGTCATCAGTCAATCATGTATTATAGAGAGGAATCAGTTTGAGAGAATATTAATAAAGTACCCTACTTTACATGTATTTAACAGAACCTCATAAAAGTTAACTTATGCTAAAATTTTGTTAGTAGCATGCAAAGTTTCATTGTTTTCTGTCCTGTCTAGTACCACTTTGCCAAAAGTGTCTGTATCAACATATTTTTCATAGTACTTTGCAAACGTAGTAGCATTTGACCATCCCGCTGATAGCATGATTTGTCTCAAATTTACTCCAGCTGTTTTAGTATCTGAAGTTGAGGCAGCCCGAGTACTATGGCATGTAAATTTCTTAGTGTTGATTCCAGACTTTTCCAAAGTTGATTTGAACCCATCTGGCAATGGTGTCTTTGGTCACTAGACTGTAAGGTTTGGTGAAACTGAAGAAAAGTTGCGATTGTTGTCCTCTTAAAGTTTCAGTACGGGTTATGTATTGTCTAAGGTACTCTATGACGCATAGTTTTTTTTATCGGTCGGGTAGCTTTGTAATCTTATAGGTTGTTGGTGTCTGCCTGCCTTTGTGTGTTTAAGTATTTCACGAATCGTGATCGTACATTCTTCATCATGAAATTGTATAAAATTTAAGTTAATTTTGTGTATAGTCTGGCATTGTTGTCCGGTTAGTAAACAGAGTAGAGTTGCCAGATTTGTTGTGATATTATTTTAATGCCATCTCCTTTGTAGGATCCAATGTTTTTAAGTAACTAGGAACGGCGTTAACATCCCATATGTGGGTATATTTTGGAAGGCATGGTTTAAGTTCTAACACCCCTTTCAAAATCCGGCAAACTAAGGGGTCTTTGCCAAACGTAGCACCTGAAGTAGGTAGTATTATTGAAGAAAGTGCAGATCTTGCCGTGTTTATGGCACTGTATCCTAGTCCAGATTTGTACATTTCAGTTAGGAAGTCAATGGTATTCGCCATTCCAGTGCTGTACAACAATAATCCTTTACATCGACAAAACTCCTGCCAGCGTAATAGGTAAGTGCGGTATTGCTTTGTAGTACCTTTTTTCCATGATGATATGATAATGTTTTGAGCAGCCCGTGAAAGATTTTGGTTTCCTAGTTTTTCCCCGATAAAAGGCAGACAATCAGGGTGCGTTTCTTGAAAAGGGGGTGTACTTCTGTTGGATGACTGGGTTGTATGAGGAGACTCGGTAATGCTTTTAGTTCTATTGGTGGCTTCTCTAGCATTGTAAGAGCTATAGGATACCTGGGTTGAGTTGGCCATTTTGGCATCACGCATATGCCTCGGGCTTCGTCATTCCTTATTTTCTGTAGAACGTTCGTTATGATACTAAAAGGTGGAAAAGCATAGAATGAATGTTCTGATCAAGTTATGCTAAAAACATCTACAAATAAAGCTTCCGGATCTGGTCTGTAAGAAACGTATTTTTTGAATTGTTTGTTGATTCTTGATACAAATAAATAAATGTCCGGCATAAATTCAAGCTCTGTACAAGCTTCATGCAGACATTTTTTGTCAAGCATCCATTTAGAGGCTCGTTCATTTCGTCGAGATTTTAAATCAGCAATTAAGTTATTTCTCCCCGGAATGTGTGCCGCGCTGACCCATAGTTCCCGAGCAATACACCATTCCCATAATTGTTTTGTCAAATTGCTGCAACGTTCAGATTGTCAATCATAGGACGGATGTGTGCATTGCGTTGGGAAGGGGCAAATGTTTGTAGTCCTGGGTAGGAGGCAAACAACTCTAAGTAATTTATGTGCTCTTTTGTCTCTAGGTGTGACCATAGGCCTCCTTTGCTAATGCCTTGCGATTCTGCCCCCTACCTTTGTTTGAAGGGTCTGTCGTAAAAGTAAGCGACGGTTCCCATGAGAAACGTGTTTAATGGCATTCATCACATTATTCGACCACCAATGTAGTTCGGCAAAGGCTTCAGCAGAAACCATCTTATATGTGTTGAAGTTTCCCTTACATGAAGTTTGTGCAGATGTTTTGTCCATATCTAAATTTCTGTAGATTAAGGGTCCATGTAACACACCAGGAAAGCTTGATACTAGTTTACCCAATATTTTGGCCATGTCTCTAATTTTTACTCCCCATTTCGCCTTCTCTATAAATTTTATACAATCTATTTTTATTGCCGAGGCTTTTCTTTTGTTAATTTCACAGTCATTGTGACAGAGTTAATTTCAAATTCCGGTGTTATTAATTTCCGGGAAGGGATAAATATCAATTTTTCTAGATGCATTAGGAACCCTAATTGGGTAAATAATGTCACTGTATCTATCACATTGTTCTGACATGCATCGTAAGTTATTCCTTGTTAATAGAAATCATCCAGATGTCCCGAGATGATGTACCCTTTTGAGTGTAATCTAGCTAAGGGGGATTATACAGTTTTTGTGAACTTCCGTGGTCCACTAGATAAGCCGTTGGGCAAGCACGTAAATTGGTATAAAACACCCTTCCAGTGGAATCTCAGGTATTTCCTGTCAGTGTATTTTATGGAGATTGAGTAGTAGGCGTCTTTGAGATCAACACCACACATGTAGCAGTTTTGTTCTACAAGCTTGGTGATCGTGGTAAATGACTCCATTTTGAAATGATATTAAGAAAAGTGTTAAAAACTTTAAGATCTAGTATGACCCTATGTGTGCCGTCTTTTTTACTTTAGTGAAAATATTTGAGAGAATTTCATCTGGTTCGTGTTGTACGGTTTCTAGTATATTTTTAGCAATCATTCTATCAATCTCAGTTTGTATTTGAAACAATTCAATCTTGTTGAAGTTTGTTGGGCGAAAGTGACGTTGGTAAAGCGTTTCCGACAGATCGGTTGTCATACCTTTTACATTAGATAGATCTCCTTGTCGAATGTAATATCAGTCCATGCGGAAAAGTGATTTGTTATTCTGCCCATTTTGTAGCTGTCACATAAAGTAATTAAGAAGTTTTTTAACTTTGGAATAGAATTTTCCCATTGCTTTACCAATGCATTTTTTCATATGTTGTAATTGGTGAATTATTTTTTACTGTCCGTCGAAGTAGAGTTCGATTGGCGCCATTTATGTCGGCTATTATGGTTTTCTTCAACGTCGGATTGTTGAGTTGAGTTTGCATCATAATCAAATTTTCAAAATATCCACTAATTTCTTATTTGATTCACTTGGACAATGCATTCTCAAAACAGATGCATATTCTATCGCAGGTAAAAATTTACGAGTTTGCATCTAAAGTCAAATTTTCAAAAATATCCACTAATTTCTCATTTGATTCACTTGGACAATGCATTCTCAAAACAGATGCATATTCTATCGCAGGTAAAAATTTACGAGTGCCTGATTCAACCTATGCGTTTAACTATTTATTATGAGTTCTTGTGAATGGAAAATTTGTGTGTTCATCCTTCTGCAACACATCAAACCGTTCAAATTCAAATCATCAAACGTTGAATGTTGATCTTTGATGTTGATCAGCATTTAGCAGCAGCGAACTATTCAGCAGTATAGGACAATGGTATCACGGTATGGGTATGTATGATCATTGATCAATGGGTATGATGGATAAGAAATATTAACTATTCATACGTTTTCCCACACAGTGAAGAAGTACCGAGAGGTACCGGTATTGGGAAGTCAACACCCGATTTATATTAAGTTTAGAGTATGCCTGTTGCTTTAGACTCGGAATATACGTTTACAAAGAAAGTTTACAAAAACAATCACATCAAACATTTTAAAAACCAAGCAAGCATAACCAATCAACTCCTAAAAAACACCATATTTTGCAAAATTTGTTTTTTCTTTATTGTTATACTTCAATGTTTATTTGGTCCTAGTCTTTCTCTAAGTAGACCGAGGCATTAATGTTGTTTTGATGGATGGAAAAGGTGGAAACCATGTCGTGAATTTGACCGCGCGAAATTTGAGAATTTGAGCGAGCAGTGTTTTTGTTTGCTCTTTTACTTCAAATTTTGAATATCAGAGCGTAAGTTTTAGCCTACTTTAACGATAAACAGATTTAAAGTGCTTTACTGAAGTAGAATGGCGCCAAAAAGAAATCGAGAAGTCCTAAAGAAGGTCTGCAGAACCAAACGATGCAAACCCGTCTTGCCCGACGTACCTTTAAATACATCCACGTCAATTGAAGAGCAAGAAAATAAAATGAACGATTATATCGAAGATCTAAAGGTAAATTTGCGTACAAAATTGTGTATTATCATGTACTGTTTTTGTAATAATCAAATATGAAAATATTAATACTAAAATTTGAATAAATAAATTGACAGATATTGATTTAATACATTGCGTGCCCCCGGAAATAATTATTTTTGAAACGATATTTTTAAGTACACTCTAAACAAAGCTGTATATCATCAAAATTACGCTTAGTTTGACAGAAAAATTTCATTTTTAAGTCTATACTTAAGAGAAACGAATCAGACCCGCGAACCTTTAAATATTTCAAAACGAAGAAGAAAAAAAGTTGCGTCATTACACCAGAGAATACATACAAACCGTAATAAAACATTTTCAAATGAAGGGCAATTCACAACGAACAAGTATTTCCGTTGGTGATATCAAATTTGCGAAGTCGAGCAAGAAGAACACGAAATTATTGGTTGATGGGTATGATAGTGGAGCTGCATGTGATTGTAGAAAAGGACGACGTAGTGCAAGTGCAAAATCGAGAGCAGAGTAGTTTCATTTAAAGAGGCGTACGAACGGAGAGCACTTGAAAAGGAAAATCGCACATTACAATCCAAACGAAGGAAACTTTGTACAAAGAAGACAAGTAGCAAGGCAACCAAGCATCATTTTCAACGATGAGAATGTTGTATGATTAAAAGATTGTCCACGTGGATCAATTTTTAGGCCATGCAACATCAATGTTGTATTAGCGAAGTGTTGCGAGGGTACTTTTTTCGTGATTGGAAATAAACAGAAAAGTTATATCTGTAGCACAATTGCAGTGATTTAATTACAAACTTCTAAAGAAATATTTCCCAGATTCACATGCAGGTCACGTGCAATATAATTACCAAAATAAAAAAACTACGTACCTTCTCCATGAACAGTCCGTGGTATCAAAACGTAGCAGGTCGTTTAACATACGTTTCCTATTTAAAAAATAAGCCCTGTTAACTATTAAGTTAAAACTAATGGCGAATTTTTAGTAATGCTTATCGCATAAGATGATACTAATCACATCAATCATTGGTGACGAAATTACGTATTGCATTGCGTTATCGATACGTATCTACCGATACCAAGAGCGTGATTTTTACATGTATAGCACGTGATTAGCTACAATGTCAAATTCGTAGAATGAAATTGGTCAGAACGTAAAAGACCTCATCGACAAAGAAGTGCATCATGGGTTGCAAGGATTACGGGTTTGATGATATTTATAATTTAATGAGTAAGCGTGATATAAAAAGAAGGAAAATAAAAGAAAACGCTGCCCATCAAATTTAATAAGAAATGATTTGGAAAAATGAGACAAACTTCCAATGATACATCAAAGAAGAAGTAAGCTCACAACTTAGCGACGGTAAAGCGCCATTCTGCAAAAACATAAACAGCTCTATCGCAATTGCGCCTCATGAAGATGACGACAATGATAATGATGATGATGATTTCTTTAACACGATGAAAGAAAAGACACCGAATCAGAAATATGTAGCATTAAGACGATCGCCAAAAATAAGAGGAAAGGCACAGAAACTTTCTTAGGTCAATTAACGAGACTATCATAAGAACATCATTTAAATTAGAGGGAGATACGCGTAGTAACGCCTTCCTACTAATTAATATCAATTTATAGTAATTATTATATAATGCTAAAGTACTGCATCAATAGCCGTATAATTGGGTGTTTAGTTCATTGTTATTATATCGTTTCCACACAAGCAATACCTGCACAAAAACTTTACATGATCATGACCATGTAAAGATGCTCATTCATCATTGGATAAGAGTGACCAAGATATGCAAGATGAATAATAGAGGGAAAAAATTCAACAATATCACTACGTATATATAAACGTATGATTAATGCGTTTATAATCAAAAGAATTGAACAATTTACAACTGACAAAAAACTTTTCCATTGATTGACTAGAAGAATTGACTTTAAATTGCAGTTTACTCTATGTAAAATTGTTAGGTAGATCAACTGCTAATATAGGATAGGTCAACTCTTAGAAGCATTAGTTACATTTCAATCAAAATTACTTATCCTTATGATCTTTCAAAGACAGGTCATTCAGAAGTATAGATTGTCATAATCATACTTTGAGGTTTTGGTGATATTTTTTTTCCATAGGTATTGTACCATGTTAGCAAAACTTCATAAATATTTTTATGCAACTTAAAATACAGAAATTTCATCAGAGGTGGTGTCTCTCCCAATGCCATTTTTAAGTTCATTATTTACTTGTCTAATTTGCATCAATGTGCACGGTCTTGTTGTCTGACTTACCAATGACATTGAAATAATTACAAAAAATATCAATATAATAAAAACAAAAACATATCTTTTCATAAAGTTATAAATTTCTAGCGATCCCTCTGGTTTCACAATTTTTTCCAAAATAAAGCCAACTTACTAATGAAAGACTTTTCAAATATAACCATAATTATAAAATGTCCATTGACAAACAACACATAAATAATGGACTTTGTTTGATTAAAATAAAAATTTTTTAGTTCAGCAAGAGCAACAGCCAATACCCTCTATGGTCTATAATCTTTTTCTCTTTATGTTTTATTCATTTTGTAAAGTTTCACATCAGTCTACATTCTACATGAAGTTTTCGAAAACAAGGCTGTGCATGAATGTCTTAAATGGCAAAGAAATCTTACTTTTTAAAAAAATACTGATATTGATTCAAGTAAATTGTTGTTATACAATTGTTGAGAATAGAAAATGTGAAAACAAGTTAAAGAAAAGTAGGCCACATGGTTAAATATCAGATAGAGAAAAGTGTGTGGTATTTGGAGCTTATAGGGATAAACACATTAATGTTTGTTCAATGGTCAACACAAGTTGGATATTAATGAGGCAATATAGGTATGATTAGAAAAAGCAAGAGAAAAATGTCTCTCTCTCTCGAAATTAAAGTATGTAACCACAAAACATATAGCATACCCATCATCACCACCAAAGACATAGAGTGCACTGTTATATGCTACCATTGTGTGCTTGCTACGTCTAAAAGTTTATAAAAAACAATAAGCTTCATTTCAAAAGAAACTTAATTCGAATAAAATGTCAATGTAAAACTGTAGGTATATATTTTAGTCAATATGAAGATGTAAAAGAATAGAAAATGTTTGCCTAGACTGCAGTTTGGCAACACTTATATGCGCAGCGTGGGCTTGTTTTTGCTTAGTATCTTAATGTTTGGGTTTGGGTCAGTGTCCAAGGTGTCTGCTAAACTGCAGTAGTTCCAAATGTTTTTATATGGGGATGGAAACTTGGCATTAGTGTTGATGTTTTACCTTCCACAAACTAAAAATTTGGATATATGAGTCACCATTAGGCTTGTAAAAAAATTATTGAAAGACTTATATTTTTTTCATGCAAGATAAATTCATCGGAAAAGCCACTAAAGCAAAAGAAGTCATTACAATAAATGCAGAACTTTATTACTTAGTAGCAAATACAACAAAAATCGAAGCATTCAGAATAAGAAAACTTTTTACTTGTAAACGCAACCCTGCAAACAATGCTAGAAATGGATTTTCTAATGTTTGAAGGCAGTTTCATCACTGTATTCGTATTTATACTGTGTACAAATATTTCATTGGATGTTGTTAAAGGGTAGATCAAATTGTCTATTACCGCATACATTCTATTGGCATACGTTTGGATTTATTGTATTTACCTTGCTCCCACAAATTCATCACAAGCAGGCATACGTTTCCATCTATGTACTGTCTCGTGCGGTCCAAAATCTAAAGTCAAATTTTCAAAAATATCCACTAATTTCTCATTTGATTCACTTGGACAATGCATTCTCAAAACCGATGCATATTCTATCGCAGGTAAAAATTTACGAGTGCCTGATTCAACCTGTGCGTTTAACTATTTATTATGAGTTTTTGTGAATGGAAAATTTGTATGTTCATCCTTCTGCAACACATCAAACCGTTCAAATTCAAATCATCAAACGTTGAATGTTGATCTTTGATGTTGATCAGCAGTCAGCAGCAGCGAACTATTCAGCAGTATAGGACAATGGTATCACGGTATGGTATGTATGATCATTGATCAATGGGTATGATGGATAAGAAATATTAACTATTCATACGTTTTCCCATACAGTGAAGAAGTACCGAGAGGTACCGGTATTGGGAAGTCAACACCCGATTTATATTAAGTTTAGAGTATGCCTGTTGCTTTAGACTCGGAATATACGTTTACAAAGAAAGTTTACAAAAACAATCACATCAAACATTTTAAAAACCAAGCAAGCATAACCAATCAACTCCTAAAAAACACCATATTTTGCAAAATTTGTTTTTTCTCTATTGTTATACTTCAATGTTTATTTGGTCCTAGTCTTTCTCTAAGTAGACCGAGGCATTAATGTTGTTTTGATGGATGGAAAAGGTGGAAACATGTCATGAATTTGACCGCGCGAAATTTGAGAATTTGAGCGAGCAGTGTTTTTGTTTGCTCTTTCACTTCAAATTTTGAATATCAGAGCGTAAGTTTTAGCCTGCTTTAACGATAAACAGATTTAAAGTGCTTTAATGAAGTAGAATGGCGCCAAAAAGAAATCGAGAAGTCCTAAAGAAGGTCTGCAGAACCAAACGATGCAAACCCGTCTTGCCCGACGTACCTTTAAATACATCCATGTCAATTGAAGAGCAAGAAAATAAAATGAACGATTATATCGAAGATTTTCTACTCCAAGGTAAATTTGCGTACAAGATTGTGTATTATCATGTACTGTTTTGTAATAATCAAATATGAAAATATTAATACTAAAATTTGAATATATAAATTGACAGATATTGATTTAATACATTGCGTGCCCCGGAAATAATTATTTTGAAACGGTATTTTTAAGTACACTCTAAACAAAGCTGTATATCATCAAAATTACGCTTAGTTTGACAGAAAAATTTTGTTTTTAAGTCTATACCTAAGAGAAACGAATCAGACCTGCGAACCTTTAAAGACAACGACTGAGGATCTTAATTTTTTCCCTTCAAAAAACTTGAGACTTTAGAAAAAAACACATATGACAAGACTGTAAATATCTAAAATAAATGTAGAGGAAATAGACCTTATTCTTTAAGGTTATGTTAGAAAATATTTACAAGTAAAATTAAGGCGAAAATATTCCAATTTCCTAAACTTTGTTATGAAAGTTGACTTTTAAAAATTTCGTAGAAAGCATCACCTGTGTAAGAAGCACTTAATCTGTGTGACATTTCATAAATTAATATGGTTTACTACAACTGTTTAACATTTTGTGTACAAGTCATATATGAAAATTGTGTGTCACATGGGAAAACCAGCTGGTCTGCCAAGTGTTGTCACAGATTAATCACCCATCATGAACTTAAAGTGTGTATGTTTATAACCATATGTACTTTCTACAGTGAAGAGCAAGCGTGAGAAAATGATAAAATGCATCCAAAAAGCTAAAGCACTGATCGGGAATGCTTATAAGAGTGCAACCATTGAAATTGTTAAGGTATTTAAAATATATTGGAATAACTGTTCTTGTAAATGACTTGTTTATTATAAATGGCTTCCCACCATATAAACTCCTCTGACATGCATCAAGAGGCTAATGCTAATTAAAGTAACTAGTTACTTGTTATTTCATAGAGTTACTGCATATGTACATGAAATTGAATACAACTTTTACCATTTTAGGATGAAAACACTGTATATCATTTTTTTTACAAAAAATAATGTGATGTTTGGTTTTTTCGACTAGTTTTTCATAACGTATACATAACGAACATTGATATCTACCCTCCAATATCACTAGCATATCAAAGCAAGGTTTTTTCATGCTATGCAACTTTTTGAGCATTGTCATAATTCATTTTGTTAGAAGTCAAATACTCTATTGTTTAACTTTTGACAGGGAGTGTTTGAACAAAGTAAAAATTACATATATGCAACAGGATCAAATTTGCAGGTTGACCATGCCACTTGTCAACTAGCCATGTCATACCATATGTATCCCTTTATGGCATCAATATACATATCATTCCAGGTAAAGCCTTGTTGTTTTTTTGTTTTCAGAGTGTATAAAATGACATTTGAAGAATTTCTAAGTGAGTACAGTTTTTACAAGCTGAATTACATAATGTTTGCAAATCTTACTCTTTTTTGAGAAATTCAGTTACACCATGGATGTTTCTATAAACTTGAAATTTTTTCTACAACCCCTTGGGGTACATATGTCACTATCTTCAAAATAGTTAACTGAAAAGTAATTTAAAAAAGAGTGAAACATGTAACGTACATGCAAAAATGAGTTTATTAGTGACAACAACCTCATTATTCAATGAAACTTGTGGTTCTGGTGGATTTTGGGTAGGATGTACCTTTGAGGCGATTACAAATTATGGAATTTTGTGATAACAGGCTGAAAAATACAAAGTATTGTAACCCTTCAAAGAATAAGTGTGAAACTCAACTAATATCTTCAATGTTCAACAGTAAGAGCCCCATTGCAAGGCATTGGCAGCCTTTCCACCATCTTCATGAAATCTGCATCCTACCTGTCAGATGGACATAGATACACCTCTGCTGGTATCAGTTTTGCATTTAATGATAGCACTTTGTTCGTTTCATAGATAACGGAGGAAATGTTGATTTAGCCATTAGTGCTCAGGTATACAATACTTTGCCTTTAAGTCTTTGATACATTTAAACGAGCTCATAGATCTGTTCTTTGACATATTGAGAATTTGTGTCTGAAAATGAAATTGTAAAACACTCTGCGGTCTCCGATATCTGTTACTTTGAACAAAGACTACGATTTATTGACCTATAGTGACTCTCGAATTTAGTAGTATTTATGAAATTTCGGAGACGAGTCTTCGATACAAATCTCTAAAGCACGACGCACTTTAATTTTGCCATCATTCCTTTACCGCCTTTCTGTGAATTTGTTTGCTCCTAGGTGACAGCGTCCATAACAGAGTTAGCTTCCGCATCAGCATCGGTAACTGGCAACATGCCTGTTGAGCAAAGGTTGGGATAAACCCTTCTGATTTGTGTTTGTCATGTGACTTTTTACTTCCTTATCTTTATGTACGTTAATGACAAAAAAAACGAGAAACCACGAGCCACCGACACGACATGAATTCATTTAAAGGATTTGACGCACCCTCTCCCGTACAAAAATTTCGTCAATTGACCCCCCATTGTTTCCCAAATATAGCTAAGAAGTGTTTATTCATTGCTAAAACGTGTTTGTTTTTTGTAATTTTGAAAACTTAGAGTTTTACTTTTAACTTATAGAATGCCATTGTCAAACCTCTCTAGCGAAATCAATAGCTCAGGTAGGATAACTATCAGTTGTGGTTGCCACAATTTTGGAGCCTGGTCACCACTTACCCAATAACTCGAACATGTCACTCCCCAGTGTCCCAGTGACTAAAATTTCTTCTTCTTTTGTAAGTATCCCAATAAATGTATCTGGGAACGTTTGGGTGAAATAGAAAGTTTCTGTTTGGTTTATAGACTCCCATATATCAGATTCTGACTTGAATGGTATTTACACTTTTGTGAATATCCTTTACTATAACTGCGAATATATTGTTAAAACAGAATTTTTTTTTCTTGGATTATACAATCAAAGATTTTACACACTGGCTTAGATGGTACTTACACTTGGGTAAATACACCCTGTATTTGGCAATTTACGTTTAAAATATTGGACTACCAGTTATTAGTACCTAATGACTTGGATGACGTTTACTTTCTGCTCATACTTTTTTTGAAAGTCTGTGACCGTTAATATGCGAACGTTCATTGGCCATTGAAATTCTACGTATTTTTGCGATTTTCTAGACATGGTTTTAGTCATTATTCGTTTATTGGTGAATAGCGATAAACAGAATTTTTGAAAAAGTTCATTCCATTGAACGGCACTATACAAGCTAACTCAATCCTTTATTTTCTTTATTTTGTTAGGATTCGTTTTGGATCAGGTTAGCATTCATTTTATTATATTACCAGCTATTTTCCAGTGATTTTCGTTAAGGTTGATCTACACCCTATGGTATAAAATGCCATTGCCTAAAATACATGCCATGGTATAAAATTGTTTTCAAAATTGGTAAAAAAAACTCTAAGTGAACTACAGTTGAAATTTAAGTTGCATCCTAAAAGGTAAGTCTTTTAGTAGTTTCATAATAATTTCAAGAATACCCTTCAGGACAGTTTCATCATGTTCGTTAAAATACTCTGACAGCTTCATTATGATCCTAAGAATAGTCGAAAGTTTCATAATAATCTTGAGAATACCCTGAAAGTTTCACAACAGCGCACAATAAACATTTCTTCGCACAATAAACATCAAATAAACACTTAATCGTTTGTCACTTCCCGCTCGTGTTTTTTATGATGTAATCTTTATTCTTTAACGATGAAATTTTCTTATCTAGTCGACTATGGAGAATGGCTTTTCGAGTAATGTTCAAACTGTGGGAAAATCAAACCGAAGCCGCAAGGTACAACTGAGGCTATGTTGCTGTGAAGTTGCATGTTTGTAGATGTAGATCGTCCAGGTTAATATTGCCCTGAAAAGGACTGTTGTTGTTGACTGACTTTTTGTCAACCTTAGCGGTAGTCATCTTCAGAGTCAAATGAGGAGTAAACGTCAGGTTAGCCGTATTTGTTATCTGGTTCTTACGTCATTGTATTGTGTGTATGGGAAATGTGCGGGTGTCAATTGTGTATTGTCTCTGTGGATTAGTGTGAAGTGGATTAAGGTGACTAGAAACATTACACTTCACACTAATCCACAATGACAATACACAATTGACACCCACACATTTCCTGTACACACAATACAATGACGTAAGAACGAGATAACGAATACGGCTAACCTGGCGTTTACTCCTCATTTGACTCTGAAGATGACTATCGCTAAGGTTGTCGAAACGTCAGTCAACAACAACAAAAACAGTCCTTCTCAGGACTATACCAACCTGGACGATCTACATTTACAAACATGTAACGATACTCCCGTGTTCAAACCATTTACTTTTATTGGTGAAGTTGATAGGGAGCATTAAGTGCTTCGCAACTACGTAGGCACTTCTGTTGATCAATTTACTCGTGTTTTATAGTAAGTGTTTTTACAAACAGTGGACTTAAGTTTATTTTAGTAAAAAAGTCATTATGGAATTTATGTTTCTACCGCAGCGAAACACAGCAATAACATCTCCTCGTCGTACAAGGTCTAGGTAAGCTAATTGGTACTTTTTGTAAAGTATATCCTTATAGCTATGCACGTACGCCTGGTGGAAAAATTTGATAAATTTCTCATTTAATTTTAATACCAATTTAATACTTTATTTATCTATAGTCGGCGCTTGCAGGGAAAGACGTCAGCGACTCCAGCCTTGAATTTTATCACTCCAATCCCGAAGTCAACCACCCTCACTGCTTTAACTAAAGACATATTAATTACCCCCAAGTTTGATCCAAGGTTTGTACGGTCTGGGGATATGGATAGCCAAAAACACCTATTGTTTGGGAGAATTTTGGGAACATCAAAACCTATGAGATCAATTGTCTTTATAAAATAGAAACAACCCACTGCGTTCATCGATTGTTCTGCAGAATGAGTTCGCATTATCCTGTGCAAACCGATCTTAGCTCAATCAATTAAAAAGAATTTGCAAGTCAATCATGAATACTTGTTAGAGGAAAAATGAAACAATTGTTTTAAATTCATCTTTTCATATTATTATTATTTTATTAAAGAAATAAAAATGCTTTTCGTGTTTATACTGGCTTATGCAAATCTCAGAGCTGATGTTGGTAAACGTCAGTAAACATCTTTTATTTCTTTGTAAGCATCTTTAATTTCTGAAAAGTTTACTATCCAAATGCGTTCTCAATTCTATAGCAATTACTTGAAATATCAGTAAAACTTTTTTTATTATACTCAATGCCACTTCTCAAAAAAACCTTCTTAAAAAACTCTTTTCTTATAAATTGTTGCTATAGGTTACCTATACCTGCTACAAGAATGAGAGCTCCGAAACCTGGAGAGAGGTTTGTCATTTATGTTATGTAAAGTCATCCAAAACTCTCATTACTACACTCACCCTCACCATTACCTTTATGAGACATTGACCCTTACCATCATTTTTCTCCCACATTTACTCTAACCATCCTTACCTTTACCTCACATTCACCCCACCATATCCTTTATCCTGATCTCTCATTTTCACTATCTGCTCCTACTTAGAGTAATATCCATGACTGGATCACCCCTGACCAATTATGTTGGGCCTTCGAACCACAATGCTCCGAAGGTCATCATACCATTAACAGGAGGAAAGGTTTGTTGGTTCATTTCGAAGAGTAAAATATGCAAAAGGATAAGTTGTGTTTCATCAAGCGTTTGATAATATTGGTATTTTAGACTGCAGGCTCATCTGAGAATTTAGGACATTATGCCAACTTCATACAATTTATGGTCCGATATCTGACACTTGTACCATTTGTAACTTCTGGTAGTCATTTTTGAAATTTCTAAGCATTTTGAATTTTTTTGGAAAAATTGTCAATTATTGTTGAAATATATAACATAGTTTATTGATGATGTGACTTAGCTGAGTGTAAATTGTCGAAAAAACGAAATCTCATAGCTTTTTAAACATGAAGTTCAAAATGAAACCAGTCCTTCAAACGGACAAGCACAAAGCTAATTTGCCTGTTTTTGTTGACTGTAGTTTACCTTCCTTACATCGTTTTTTTGTTCATTGTTTTACATGTTGTTCTAGACATTTCAACTAAGTGTAGATGAGAATTCATCGCTTAGTGCTCAAGAGATTGATGTGGCAAGCGACAACGTAGCGCAAAATAATATACGATTACTCCAGGTACTCTTGAGACGTGTGTCTGTCGAATTAGTTAAGAGAAACACCGAAAAATAATTTTCAATACTTTTTGTCTATGAATTTAAGGAAAAGCTCTCAAAGATGTTGAAGATGCCAAAGTAATGCAATTGAAGTGATATCAAGGAATTTTGCTAAGTACCTGCGTCTATAGATGATTTTTTTATGTATGAATCTCTCCCTCCCGCGCCAGAATCGACGCGAAATTATTGAGATTTTGCTTTCTTAAACTGAGGATGAATGGAACTTCTGTTTCTATACATCTCACTCTAAATTTAGCGATTTCAAGTGACCGATAGCTGTTATTCATCCTAGTAGGGAGAGAGAGAAATTTATTTAATGACCAATAGCCATCAATCCTTAAATTTAGGGAGATAGTTCTATCCATGCTCAATGAAATAAAATTGTCGGCTTGTAATGGTTTTGGAAAGACTACTTCCGATTTTGTCACTTTACATTAATCATTATGCGCGATGTTTATAACGACGTAAGAATTGACATCCAAAAAGGCCTACTTTTCAAGTAGCAAACGCGCTGAAAAATACGTGTATTTGTTTGTCATCATCCGAAAGTACGTTTTCTGAGGATTTCAAATGTATTTTTACTTTTGTGGCCCAAATTCGTGGAGCGAATCTACATGCGAACAAAGTCTACTGTGAGGGTACCACCGGATTCAAGACAGTACACTTTTTATATAGTAAACACGTTGCAATTTACTTGTGTTTGATATCGTCTTGAAGAGCGTGCTGTTGGCATTTTTAATATGTCTTGTCTAAGATTTCTGTCCTGTCTAAGACTACTTTGCTGAGGACTCAAAAAAGACCATATTATCCAGGGGGGAATGCATAGCCCTTTAGGTGTCCCCAGTTAATGTCAAAGCCTCCGAATATAGAGTTTAGGGGTCTGGTCTCCACTTGATGTACCTTTTTGGTTGGTGCGCGAAGCCAAACGATGTATTAGGAGACCAGAAATGCCAAACGGCGACTGGGTCGAGCATCAAGTCACTGTTGTCGCGAAATTATCTAGAATCTCTGTCCGCTACAATATTGGACTGCCAGGCCACACGATATACTGTCACAAAGAGGGCGTTCTAAATGCACTAATTTGACAGTTTAAAAAATGCACTGAGCAGTCCGTGGGAATGGGTACCCACTTTATGATTGATATAAGTAATTGCGGTTGAGTTGTCCATGTGCAGAGCAACAATTTTCGATTGTTGTTTTCAATAGAGATTGGATTTCCAACATTGCCCTTTCAATTCTAGAACTTTTATTTATTTTTGCTCCTCTGCCGACCATCTGCCATTGGTCAGTAGATACCCTGCAGCTATACTGACCCTTTTGACAGAGCTCATACCCGTGCCAATTAGTCTCCAGACCTAGGAAGTAAACCGGCGCGCACATGTCAACCGGAAACAGAATAGGCTAAGATAATGAATGGGAAATGAAACAGATGTAAATTGAAAACATGCAATTGTTTCATTCATCATGATTGAAGTATCAGTATATCCGTTTCCTTTTCATGTTAGGGTAAGACAGCAGATAACATAGCAATTGCATTTCATAGCTTGCATTTTATGGAAAGGTTTAGCGTTTACAATTTGAAAAGACTGACTTAGAAAAAAATAAAGTTAATCAGCGTCAAAGCATGTTGCAAGATAAATTATTAAACTGCTATGCCGAAGAAATTGCTACAATGATACGCGGAAAAGTTTAAAAGAATTCTAATGGCTGTTTAATCGATCATCCCTCCCAACGTCAACATGATTGTTAATCATGGAGCATGGCGAGTACAAGATGTTGTATTTTGATGATGCCGTGTAAAACGTGTCCGAAGAGATAGTGATCAAAGATTTTATGAAAAGCATTGCCTTTGCAAAAAGGACGCTTCTATGGATTGTTTAAAACGCTTCAGAAAATATGTATTGTGTGAATGTTAACAATGAAACATTTTAATGAAACATATTGGGTTGGAATAAAACGCGGAAACGGATGGCACGGATGCGGATGAGGGGATAATACAAGAATGAGGGATAATACACGGATGAGAGGATAAAACACGAATTGAAGGGGTAAAAGACGGATCTCCTTAAAATTTTATTTCTTTTTCAAGGGGCGGTGTTTAGCAAATTAATATGAAAACATTTTGCCTTAACATTGTGTGCTTTTGTTTAAATTGTTCTAAGTGACAAATTGTAGGAAAGTAAAACTTAAATATTCTTAAAACATCACGCAAAAAGTGTCTATATAATGTCGCAAGTTGCAGGTTAAATGTGGAGGGTAAAGTGAAGTAGATTCGTGCTTTTAAAAGTAGATGTTCGTAGAAAAAAGTTTACTTATGCTGAATTCTCGGGGATTCGTTTATTTCTGTATATGCACACTTGAATGTGCCCTAGGAATCAACTGTTGATACTAAAATATATATTTATAGAACCTGTGTTAAGCCGTCATATGGCAAAACTCGAAAATTTCATAGTAGAAATACCATAAATTTTACTTTATTAATCGGTCACCTCTATCAAGCGGACGCTGTCACCTTCTCCAATGTCCCAAACTTAATTTTTCATTGTTGCGAAACTGTATTAAACGGTCATGTAATATAAAAACATCACATAATAAAATATATAATGAAATATTTATTCTGGAACATGTCAAATATTTTGTATACACGTCTTTATATTTTATATATCTTCCACAAAAAGTGTCGAAAAAATTTTCTGTTTGTGTGTGGACATAGCAATTTGAATTTTTCTTACGTCGCTTAAGCCGTCGGCAAGAAAACGTATCTTCAAGAAAGGGATAAACGCGCGGTATTGATAAGTTATAACCACCTTCTCTGTTGACGCGCTTGCCATTGATTAATTTTCAGCAGTTTGAGCCGTGTTATTTTTATGTATTCTATTTTCTATTTTCTAGTTTAAACTAAGAAAAAATTGCTTTATATAGTGTTGTTTTGGGTTATTTGGCATGTATGTTGAGGAACAATACTAATTGGTTCAACTTTAGTTTTATTAAATAATTACACGTAGCCTGTCTGGTAATTTACCTAAACTCACTAAAGACCTGTATTATTCGGTCAACCTGTATTAAGCGGTCACACGGAAAATCCCCAAAGGTGACCGCTTAACAGGTTCTACGGTATAGTTTTATTCTCATATACCCTAACCCTTTAGTTTTATACTCATCAACCTATAATTTATACTTACCAACCATTACAGTTATCAGGCGAACTCAATTAACTATTCAATAAATATTCGGACACAACCAGAGATGTTGTTAACTATACACTAACATGATATAATTAGATTGAAAAGCAATGCCAAAGCATTTAAAAATGAAATACTTACATTTCCAACAATAAGAAATTGTAAGTTATACTATATGATGTACACAGTTAGTCAATTCCTACAATAATAGGCAGCAACTGCAAGTTGTTGAATCAGCGCTCACTGTCAAAATTAAGATATTTGATCAAGTTATAGATATTGTTATATTATATTTGTGGAAATAAAACATATACCGTAAAATGTACATCAGTTGTGTCCAAAGAAATCTTGAATTTTTGATATTTGTTATGTCTGAATATATGTAAGTAGTTATGGTGCAGGTATGGTGCCGGAAGTAAACGTAGCTCTTAATCGTGTCAATTAGTTTCCAGTCCTAGGAAGTAAACAGGAACTATTTTAGTTTCGGAGGAAAAGAAGTAGAGATTTCGAAAACAACCGAAAGTCCTTATGCTTCTGATTTGCACGGATCCGTCATGATTTATGTATATTGTAACATTGTACAACTGCAAGTTGTTGGAGACGTCAATGTAAAATTACTAAAGGCAGTTGCTATTCAAGGAAAATATGGAGACATTGTTTCAAGATCATTCACTAATATTCAATATATACCCGTGCAAACAAAATCTTTTGAGGACATCGAGTTTCTCTTAAGGGACGAGTTAGGAAATCCCATCTCATTTGAACGAGGGAAGTCGATAGTGACACTTCATTTCAGAAAAGAAGCCTTACCTTATTTTACATAAGAAAAAAATATGAGTAGAACAAACCGTTATGTTCAATATTATCTCAATCAGCAAAAAGGATACGGATCGCAACCTGTCTTTAGGGGAGCATCCTGGCAAAAAAGTTATGGGCAGATGGGTTATGGTCTTGGTGGTTTATTTCGTAGATTGGCTAGAGCTGCAATACCTTTGGCAAAAACCGGCGCAAAAGCTCTAGGTAAAATTGCCCTCGATACAGGTGCAAAAGTTTTTCGTTGGATTCTTTATGTTTCTGTTCTTCATAAGAAGTTTTGCAGTAACAAATTCTTATGATAAGTCATCTGCTCTAGATTCCAATGCTGTTATTAAGCCACTGTACGAATCAGGTAAACTACAAAGGAGTGTCGCCACTTGATCTTTCTCAGAAACAGACTCACCCAATGCTTCCAACTGACTTGCAATATCCTTCATCTTGTTGAGATGTTCGGTCATGGAATCATTAAGACCCATACTTGTAGTGAAATATTTCTTTCGCAAGAATAACTTATTGGCCAAAGATTTGACTTCATAATGACTTTCTAATTTCGCCCAAGCATCTTTTGCAGTACGCGCTGATCGAACGAGAGATAGCTGTTCATCGCCAAGAGACAAACATATTGTCGCAAATGCCTTCCTTTCCCGCCTTTGATATTGTCGACGTTGAGTATCAGTAGTTTCTTCACCATTAGGTTCTACCTCATCGCCAATAACTATTTGCCAGAGATCCTTCTCTTCAAGTATCATCTGCATCTTAAACTGCCAAAGGTGAAAGTTTTGGCCATTGAAAATTTCGATCTGTGTAAATGCTACGTCATTTCCAGAAGTCGCAATATTCAATATTTCGCACTTATGTAAGTTACATTCTCATGAAATCGCGATATCTCATATAGTTTCCGTATTTGCCGTCATCAACAGAAACTCAAACGCTCCTGGGCCCATAACCTGTTAAATTATTCGAGATTCGGCATTAACGTTCGGATAATATGTGAAATATTATGATTTTTATTGTGGAACAAAATAGCAACTTACGTTTAAGCAACAACGATATTACAATAACAAGTTCTGAATGCCACTTCATCTGACATGTGTCGTCTCTACTTAATTATGTTTTCGCGTGATGTTTATATCTCAACAATTATTCCTTAAACTTTCTGATATTTTCGTTACTTCATTCGATAACTTCCATTCTTCCTTTGTTTGCTTTTTGATTGCGCTGCGTAATAATCGTTTGCGTATCGCAAAGCTATCTTGGTTGTTGACATTTGGTAGTGGAAAGCAGAGAAACTTTGGATAAACGCCGAGTGAAAGACAATCTTTGAGAAACATAACATCTAGTTCTGCTTTCCTTTGTTTGGTTTGAAGCTTTTCAAACTTTCGCAATTCTGATAAGGA